TCTCGACCGTTTACAAGTTCTCAAACAGGAGGGGGTTAGGTAACCCCATGGACTCCCCCTATATTTCATTTGATTTGTTTTATTTTCCCTTACATGAATGTATATGGTTTAGGGTGGGGATCTCAACCATTTCCAAGTTCTCAAACAGGAGGGGTTGGGGTGACCCCAGGGACTCCCTATATATTTCATTTGATTTGTTATATTTTCCCATACATGAATATATATGGTTTAGGAGTGGGGATCTCGACCGTTTACAAGTTCTCAAACAGGAGGGGGTGGGGTGACCCCAGGGACTCCCCCTATATTTCATTTGATTTGTTTTATTATACCATACATGAATATATATGGTTTAGGGGTGGGGATCTCGACCATTTTCAAGTTCTCAAACAGGAGGGGGTGGGACGACACCGGGGACTCCCCATATATTTCATTTGATTTGTTATATTGTCCCATGCATGAATATATATGGTTTAGGGGTGGGGATCTTGACTGTTTACAAGTTCTCAAACAGGAGGGGGTTGGGTGACCCCAGGGACTCCCCCTATATTTCATTAGATTTGTTTTATTATCCCATACATGAATATATATGGTTTAGGGGTGGGGATCTCGACCATTTCCAAGTTCTCAAACAGGAGGGGGTGGGACGACACCGGGGACTCCCCCAAATTATTTTCATCTGATTTCCTTTATTGTCCCATACAAGTATATATATTGTTTAGGGGTGGGGATCGAGAAGGTTTACAAGATAAAAGTACATTTTCAAATTGAAGGGGGTTGGGATGACCCCCAGGGACTCACCCTATATTTTGGTTAATTTTTTTTATTGTCCTGTTCTCATTACTGAAGACTGCATGTGTCTATCACTTACTGTTTTCGAGAAATAGTCATTTGAAAATTTAAAAAAATAAAATCCCATAGGGTTCTATAGTAAACCCCTCCTTTCTTCAGGCCCCTCCAAATAACCCTAAATAGACCCCAATGCACAAACAAAAGGTTAATGGCTCCACTAGACATGTTAGTCTAATATTTTATGAAACCCTACGTAAATCTGACAAACGGTCAAAGTTGTCTTCTTAGACGGTTTGAGTGGATTCGGTCCGACTTGTCTCGGGGACGAGTTGTCCACATTACTTAAAACATCCCATCAACATCGATTTCCGCATCTGCTTCATGACCTCGTTTCATTCATAAAATAACAACAACCTTATTTGGCAAGATAAGTTAAACATTACCTCCCACTTATATAACTTTATTTCCTCTATCATAGAGATTTGTTGTACATGAACAATATTCCTGCTCATTTTGCCATTTAGGAAATCTAAACGACTTGTAATTACCAATTTTCGGCGATGAAGTATTTCATACAATTGTTCTTTTACATCGTAGCCAACAGCACAGGGGATAATAAACTACGTACGGATTTCCATTGAGCACTACTTCCTACGTGCAACTTCAAAAGTTTTGGGTAGTTCGACGATCATTTAAGGTTTTTCTGGTCATATTTTTTGTATTGCAGAAATAAAAGTATTAAAAAAATGTCCAATTAGTTATAAATAACATAATAGCCAACTAGATAATAACAATGGCACGTATTTCAGCATTTATTGGGTAGAACACAAATCTAGGGTGCTCGCATAAGGCAGCTTAACTGCCTAAAAATAAAATGAGACGCTTTTGAATAATTAATTTTTATTTTGTTATATATTATTGTAATCTGTGATTCATATTCATAAACATTGTAGTTTATTCAAAATATTAATACATAAATGATGATCCAAGAGTTATTCCTCACAGGAGTACCTTGACACAAGATAATCATTGGTTGCTTCATTTTGGTCAAATTCCAAATCTGACTTGTAGTGTGAATCATTATCACTACCAAAATCACTATCCAGCTAAGAATAATAGGGGTAGGTGGCTACATCAAGTTCATTTAACCATGAAAAGTCAGACATTGGTCTGTTGTGTTTGATAATGGCATGTATGTTCCTAAATTTTAAATTAAGTTGACCCCTGTTTTTTTTTCGTTTAAAGAAATAATAGACTTATGGGCAGGAGCCGTTGTTGGGTTTTGTTTTGCCTCTGCAATGGCACAGGCATTTATATGACATTTACTTTTCTCATGATCTGTTATTGTGCTCAACTTGAAGTTGGCACATCCTGTCAAGAACATGAAAAAGAGATATTTATTTTTTAGATTGTCACTGGTACTACGTTTTCCATGTGAAATGCAAATAGTGCAGGTCATCATGTTGTTGTCTATGTTGTAAACCAACCATGTGCGCCCCTCTTGCCATTTTGGATTAAACGACCTATCAGGCCTCTTCTCCTTTTCATATAAGGACCGTTTTATGGCTTTGTTAGGTTGAAGTGGTGACTGATTTGGCCTTTTACAAGATTTAGACCCACTCACATATTTAATCAGCCATGACATATTTCCCCGACCTCAGTGTTCTCACCAGGCCGTTTTAGCGCTGCGGTATTCAGCGCTTTTGCAATTTTCCGCTGTTCTATTGAACTAAGCGCAGCGCTATCTAAATCAATCGCGTAAGTATATTTTTTCGATTTTTTTTTTTATTTTTCAAATTTCCAGCTCATCTTTTACTTCGATGATCGTCTGGTTTACTATTACTGAATGTGTTATTTGAGTTGTATAAAGTAACTTTGCAGGACCAGTTTAATAAATTTTACAAAATGGCATCTGAAAATCAAAATAAATGAAGAAATCAACAGTATCATCCATTTTTTGAATAAAAAAGAATATAAAGAAGCAACTATGAATGGAATTAGTCTGAGATTACTCTGACGTCCAACGGCTGTTTTGCCAGACAAGCTGGGGCCGTGGGACGTCGGAGCTCGTTCCATATCAAAAAGTTGATATTTGCCCGTCCAAAATAGATGCGCTGCTTCGTCGCTTCTGGTGCCAACGGATGGCCTTGGAATTATATAAATCGGGTATCAATTTGTTCATTTTTGATTTATCTCTTCATTTATGTAAGTTTCACCTACCTGCCACCCTTTATTTTCTCATGTCCAGCTTGGGTGAAGCCATACGAATGTAAATGGTGATCAGAAAAATGAGAAATCATAAGTTTAGTAGTAGAGATATCATAATGTTCCCAAATGTTAACTCCTGTCAAACATCGTAAATGGTTCATGTGGACCCTTCGGCTAAAATGGCTGCATTTTCACCTCAAAATTTACTCTGACTACAGACAAACCTGTGTATCTGGAAAAGTTTTAAGGCATAGCATGCCCTAGATAAATAACATTCAAATATATTTTATGTTTTTGAAAATTGAAAATTTAACAGGATTTAGCAGTGCACTTTTTTTCATTCCTCCAGAAGGTGCCAAAATATGCTATGTCTTAAAACTTTTCCAGATGCACAGGTTTTTCTGTACTGAGATGAAAACACAGCCATTTTAGCCAAAGGGTCCACATGAACCTTAATAGTTCACTGCTCCAGTGGGTTACAAAACTCAACACAGAAACTGACAATGAGGTGATAGTGGGTCCTACACACAGGCACTTGTTTTCTATCCATGGCAAGATCTACTGTATAGGGATAGTAGATCTTTTCATGGATAGAGAACAAATGCCTGTGGTCCTACATATTCTACAGCATCACCTGTTAAGAAATCTTCAAATCGCCAGTCTAGTGTTGACCCTTCATGAAAAAAGACTTTTCCTTGGGTTTTGTACAAAGATAAAAATGCTTCTTCATCTATTTTTAAACAATAACATTTAAAACAACTTGGTAACTTTCATCAGGACATCATTACAAGCTCAAACATCAGCAGCATATTGTATAAAAACATCATAACAAACCCATTACAAACAAACTGTGTGCCGCGACAAAGTTACTGAGAATTGTCGAAAATCACATGCTTACCACAGCGCTATCAAAAAATCCTGGGGAGAACACTGCCCGACCTCATTTATGATAAATTAACCTCATTCCTGATGAGCGAAATTATAATACCAGAAACATGACGGAAAATACGCGAAACGGCTTGGGGCGAGATGAACATGGCACAAAACTACTAGATGGAAATACTGGTTCCCAATGTTAGAACAAGCAAGGGAACAGGAAATAGAACAAACGAGGGAACAGAAAATTTTACTTTTATTAAAGATGATCACATATTTAAAACAAAATACACTGCCGGGACCGACATAGACCCAAGCAGACTAAAATATTGCCGGCCATCAGGTCCTGCACAGCAACGGATTTTGTCGGTGCTGCATGAATTCTGCCCGTTGCTTCCGACAGGTCATGATTAGTTGCAACTCTGGTTGAATGATTTGCATATAAATGATAAATTATAAAATTATAAATTGTTGTTTCCAGGAAAACATACAAGATTTCCAATGATTTTTTGAAAAATAGGTGCATATTGGGTACAGCAAGGATTTGTACAGTTAAATCCTAGGGTACAGTGAAGTGATGTTAGGCATCTTGTAATAAGCGGAAGGAGTATCTGTAACAATGTGTAATACTGTATGATGCATCTGTAAGTAATCTTCACCTCCATTATAGGAGATTGAGGAAATCCTCATTTAATCCATAACTCAAATAAAATAACTCAATACTGTACATGTGTTTGTAAATTTGTGTAAATTTTCCAGTCAATAAAATTTATAAAAGAGGTAGCCGACCCAGTGACAGTGTATGCAACTCACGCCAACTGTAAGGCTGCAAGGTAGTTGTTTTCGTGAACGTCCATAATGTCGTAGTCGTTTAAAAGCCTTCAGAGCTAAATTTTACGATCTTATACCTGTAAGTGCATTCATTTAAGACTTTTGTGCTTAAATTGTATGAAATCTTGATATGTAGCTATATGGACTTTCCAAAGAAACCGCGGGAAAATATTCTATTTGTAAACATTGGCCATTTTTATATTGAAACCGAAAGTATATAAGATGACATTAATGAAAACTGTTAAATTTGTCTATTCTACTATTGCTAATGCATTGTTTGCTATTATTAAATTTACTTCATCTGCTGACAAAGGAAGGTTTCCAATCCACACATCGTAAGTTATGATTTTGTTCGCCATTTTCACCCACGTGGTTGTCAGTGATGAAAGTGCCATCTACATCCTCTGAACTGCAAAAGGCCATCCTAAATAATTCTGTGGTTACAGTATCCGCATGTGAGCAATTTGTCAGCATGTGAAAATCAAGCAAGAATCTACACTGTATAATTAATTACTAGTAATCGACCTTTGGATGAAAAAAAAAATAAAAACAGGATTACCGCGTGTGCTTAATGTTTTTTTTGTTGTTGCTACATTAAAAAAAAAATGCACCATAACAATATAACAAATGTCTCGCATTTGAAACGACGATAAAACTTGAGAAACATATTTTTCTGCAAAATTTGATATTTTAAATGATTAATAAGCGTGATTCAAGCATACAGTGCTTTCCATCTGGGAACAGTATATCAATATATATGTTCCTGTTTCCATTGAGCAGCAACGAGCAACATATAAGTGTCATATATAACTTGCTAAAGAAGGATTCATTTAAAAGGAAAATTGAAGACTCTTCTGTTAAACAAATTGTTTTTCTTTAAAAAAAAAAATGTGCAATACTTGAACCTGATTAACTGTTTTAACAATGACCCTTCCTTGCTCAAGAAGAATTTGTTGTGTGAAATGAAGTGGGTTTTTTTTTGTACGCCAGTTTGAAAATTATTGTTCAAAACCCTTACCTGTATTCTTAAACAACTGAAGGCGATTTGATTATTGGCTTTAGGAAACGCTTGATCTCATTTATTTATCACAGAGGCAATAGCAACCAAGCTTTTCTATAGACTGTGACCAGTTTGATCGTTGAAAGCTCAAACTTTTACTTAAAACAACTTGTTTCAGTTCGAACAAATTCGCTTTAATATATTTAATCTTTTCCTTTTTGAAAATTCACCAAATTACAATGAAGGGGATATTGTTACACGATTGCCTGACAGACAGAAGGATGCAGAAATTGACTGGCCCAGTGACTAAGAAATGGCGACAAAGGGGTCACTCTGTTACTTAGTCGTCTACAGCACACTTTGTTAAACGGCAACTCCTAGAAAACTGAAGAACGAAATTCTAACAAATTTGAACAGCATTTTCTAAAGGACATAGAAATGATTTTAAATTTGACATGAAAAATTGGCATTTTTTTTAAATTTTATAGTTATACAATGGTCATCGTAAAATCAGGAAGATTTGGATGAATAGAGATTAACTTTCAGATTGACACGTGACAGTTTGTTTTAACTATTTGTTGTAACTAATAGTTTGTAATAAACACATAATTTCTGTTACTTCTTATTTGTTTCTTAATTGGTTTAAATATACCAACCATTCCCTTAGTGTCCTGTCAGGCCGATGAAGGCCAATTAGCATGGCGTTTAATAGATGTCATTACAAGTTTCAACATGCTGTGGGTTTTTTTTTCTTAATTTGTAAACCTTTTTTTCTGATTCTTTTTCATTTTTGAGGTGTTTTTTTTTTTTTTTTTTTTGGGGGGGGGGGGGGGGGGGCGGGGGTAATTGTTTGACATGAAATTTAGTTGTTTATGAATAGAAAACACACTTTAATATGAAATCCAAAGTACTATTTAGGTCGTCTTCTATTCCCAGCATGATGGAACTATTTTCAACATGTTAGGATCAACCTCATGATGTTGACAACCAGTAGAAATTTAATACTTTTTCTTTCTGGTTCTCTCTTAGTCGTATCAAATCCAGAAAAAAAATATGAATTAATTTCTATCAAACGTGAATCCTAACTCTCCTTGCAGCTATAGTTAGAAAGGTAAATAACAGGACAAGTTTGGCATGTTCCTTGGGACAGAAACCCAACAACACCAGATCGATAGATTTTATATTTTCAATAGAGGACTTAATCTATAATCAAATATTTCATTTTTGGGCTTTTTATTACTTTCTATCTCCTTTTTTATTTTCTTCTTTAAATGTTTTCATGAATTATCATATTTGAAGCTATTCTTTTCATATTGACATTAAACGCCTTTTCTCTGTCTCAATATAAAGTATTTATCACGAATGAAGGAAAACATCTTGGCGAAAAGAGGTGTGTTTGCTGTCCGGGTGCTGGGGTAGTCTTGATTGAAAACGGCAGCAACAAACGTTTCTCAATGTATACACAAATAAGCGCATTTAATACTGTCAGTCACACGTTGTCTGTATATACTAGTAGACTATGTTTTTCTGTGTTGTTAAGTTGCTGTCATTTCAATAGGAAAATAAGGATATGTGGTATGATTGCAAATGAGACAACTATACACCAAAGTTCAAATGAATGGATGTAATTAATTATATATAGGCAACCGTACGGCCTTCAACGATGAGAAAAACCCATACTGTATAGTCGGCTATAAAAGGCCCCAACATGAAAAATATGAAACACATCTTCTGTTATATTCGAATCCTACAATTTCGTGAACAATCCTTTAAAATGCATGATACATTTTATCAAAGAAATAAACCCTTTTCTTACCTTTTGTACAAATGTCCGTCCATCCTTGTTTTAGTTCATAACAGTAGACATGCTACGTATGTGACGTCATTGTATTGTTTCTGGTTTATTCATCTCGCGTGCTTTGAACAGATTAAAATGACATAACAAAGACACAGACAAGTCGTCAAAACACTAAAAAACAGAGAGAAAAAAGGAGAGAAAAACAAACAGGACAACCCATTTGAAAGAAACATAAAAGCAAGAAGTGGCATTTATTTCATACACGATTAAAACAAAGAAAAATTCGAGAGGTGAAGAAAAGTATGAATATGGTTACATAATCAGCTATCGTCAATAACATGAACACCCCTTTAACTCTCCCCACCCCCAAACACACATCTCCGACGGTAGAACCACTATGAAAAGCGAATCCAAACATAAAAGACTGATGATATATGAATGTAAGTACACTCGCACTATATATATCTGCATGTTATAAAATGAAAAATAATGTTTAACAAAAACCCTCCATACTTTAGAGTTTCCTGCTGACTTTTAATACACAATTGTAGTAATTTTGACAACAACAAAAAAACAAAAAAAATACAGACAAACGTCACTGCATTCATTTTCTTTTTGTTTACTTGTATGTTGGCAATACATCTATACATCTTTTGTATTGTGCACATTTTTACAGCATATTAGTACCGAAAAAAAGTACTGAGTTTAATTTAGAGTTACCTCTCCATTGATTAGTTGATATGAAATAGACGGCCAACCTTTGACATTGCATACGTGTAGAAAAAGTCCTCTAAAAAAATTCAGTCAAGTTGAGCATGAAGAAGAAGGGTGAAAAAAAATCACATAATGAGAAAAAAATGATTTATTCGTTTGAAGTTAAAATGTGTGATTTGCCCCCCCCCCCCCCCCCCCCTCACAAAAAAACAGAGAATAAATAAAAAAAAATATCACTTCCTTTATTCTTAGGTTGTATTTTAATCAAATATTGTTTTGAAAGAATTTTAATCAGTTCAAAAAAAATGTGCGTGAAAGTAAAATGATATATCTTTAATATTTCCTTACTAAAAATAATTTTCCCAAAAGGCAACTGCATAAATGTTAGAAATAGTATACTCTTAAGGAGTGAAATGAAGCAAAAAATAATAATTTGAATGAAAAAAAAATTCAAAGAACAGTGCAAAGTGAAGAGAAAAGAAAAGGGTAGGATAGGTCTCAGCTATATTTAGTTTGATAACTGATGTACAACAATTGTAGATTCTTTTTGAACAAATTTGGTAGCCCTTAAAAGGGCTTTTGGTGGCTGAATAGCCTCTGCAGACTGAAGTGGAACAGTTTACTTCTTCTTTGGTGTCTTCTTGGCTTTTGGTTTGGCTGCCTTCTTTTTAGCCGGTGACTTGGCTGCCTTCTTTGGCTTGGCTGCTTTCTTTGCTGCTGGTTTCTTAGTTTTAGGCTTGGCTGCCTTTTTCTCTCCAGCTGGTTTCTTTGCTGCCTTCTTTTTCTTTGGTGTGCTCTTTGTCTTCTTAGGCTTGGCGGCCTTAGGTTTAGCTGCTTTCTTTGTCTTTGCTGGCTTCTTTTTAGCTTGTTTTGCCTCTCCAATTCTGAAAGATCCGGATGCTCCAGTTCCCTTGGACTGCTTCAAACTGTTGCTCTTATTGCAAGTTTTAAATGAGCGTTTACTGACTTGGCATCTTTTCCGACGTTGAAGTTGGCCATCCATGATACCCAAGAATGAAGGACACTAATGGCCGATTACCCGGGGTGCAATGTTTTTAATGATGTTCGATTAACATAGAAAATAATGGTAAAATAAATGGGTACCCTTCATTAATTCTTCATATTATTTTTATTAATCATCTGAATTCTTATTAACACATACGACCGAATTCTACATAGATTTACCTTTCTGGTGGTATAAAAAAATCAGTTTATCTTATCTCATTGTTAGGTCTCCGATTTTTTTAAATTTCATTATCTAAATTCCCTTACTCACATCAGTAAATAACGATGAATTACCTCAAAAGAAACGAGACAACAGTAACTAAAAAAATAGAAGCACACTTAATATGCAAAGGAAATACTATTAACACATACTGCTGAATACTCCTGTCAAAAAGCTATATTTTGATGTCAGAAAAGTCAGTTTAAATTAAGAAATTCTTAGGTCTCCGGCGTTTTGAAAAGTTGTCTTTGAAAAAAAATAACCAACACAAATGTAATATACGAAAACAACGTACATTAGCGAGATCATACTGTTATACACGTACGTAAAATAAATTCCAGTTGTTCTTAAATAACTGATGAAATAATACATAATAAGTTCAAATTCAAAGTGTTCACTGCGGCTATTTTTTATTGCACAGCAAAAGAGGCCCTTCTTCGTTGATATGTTGGGTTTTCCTTGTATTTCAAAACACCTTTTGTCTGGTGCATATGCCACGACTCATAAAATCTAACTTATATTTATTAATTTATTTTGTCCGACGAATTTGTGTCCCTGACTTTTAATTTAAACTGATTAGCCGTTTTTTTTTATCGTCTAAAAGAAAGTGTACATTTTATTGTCATGCACCAAAAATTACCGTTAACATCGTTTGACATGAATTTTTACTTTTATTTGTCATGAATGTACCATCCATCATGACCCTCATACAGTGTGTTGAAGTCGAGCACATTTGAAATGTTAATTAAATCTAAAAAAAATCACAGAATCATGTTAACTATTCAACTTAAGTTCTTTATTTTGATTATTTTTTAAATTCATGACTAATGATGCTTGATTCAAAAAAAAATACAGATATATAACAAATGAATTAGTATTTTATCATTTTATATATGTTGTAGCAGGGGTGGATCCAGCCATTTTTAAAAGGGGGTTCCTACCCAGGATAAAATGGGGTGGGGTCCAACCATATGTCCCCATTCCAAAGCATTGATTGATAAAAAAAAGGGAGGGTCCAACCCCTGGATCCCCCTCTGGATCCGCAACTGTGTACACAAAGGTCTAATGAATAAATACAAACAAACAGGTTATTCATGGGACCCTTTTCATAGAAGAAAATACTGTTTTTAATTTGGGTGATTATTCATTTAAAAGAATTTAGTATTGCTGGAAAAAAGACTGGCATCTCATGCGAAATTGGCAAGATTTGGCAGTATTGATAATGGACAATTAACATGGTAAAATGAAGAACATACTTTGACCTATAATGGTTTACTTTTACAAATTGTGACTTGGATGGAGAGTTGTGTCATTGCCATTGGCACTCATACCACATCTCCATATATCTATTAACTATAATTGCAAAGATATAGATTTTTAATAAAGATTTTTTTTTATATATTTACCTATATAATATGTTAAGTAAAATTTTAAATAGGTGAAAAGTCTGCAGAAAAAAATTAAGATGATGAAGAAAATGATGAAGAAGATGATGATGATGATGATGATGAAGAAGAGAATGGATTATCTCCTCCTGATCAAAAGAGACAAAAAACTTGACATGACATAAATGAATTTTAAATGTACACTGAAGAAGAAACTTAAAACTGTACTGTACTACAATTAAATTTGATGGACAAATTATATAATTTTGTTCATTGTTGTATCTTTCATTTTAGCTAGTAAAATTTACTTTCATTTTCTGTTTTAGAATTTTCATTTTTGACATATATTGCCTCAAACACAGACTGTATCTTATTTTCGTTACATTGACAACAGTCAGTTTTTAATAATCCATTTTGTCATAACCGCTATAGGGTATAAGATGACATATAATACAATGAATAAAAAACACAGAGGCACAAGTGATGCTGAGGTGAAAGTGTAAAGAAAATAATAATATTGAAAGTAGATCTGTCTGTCAGTCTGTCTGTCTATTCATCAGTCCAGTTCTTGCCATCCCACCCCTCTGAAACCATATCAAAATCAAAATGTGTAGGACATAGTAAATAGATGTGCAAAATGACAGGAAATTATGATTCAATTTTTATTCTTCTTAGAGTTATGCCCCTTTGAACTTAAAATTTTGGTCTAAATATACTACTGCAACAGTTAAGTTTTTGTTTTTTCGGTGACAATGTGGGGGCATGGGGTACATGAGCATGCTTGCTACGATTCTTTAAGTTTCAAAATTGAAATAACAGCTTGAATGAATAAGTTTAAAAAGAGATGAGGAGTATATGCCAATGAGACACATCATAACAAAACAATAGGAAGAGATCTTGATATGATCTTCAACAGATGCCTATATAATGTCAAAATCATTAATGTGACTATAAGAGCAAAAAAATTCTTCAAATTGATTTCAACTGGGTCTGTTACTCATGCAAATATTAGAAATAAAATCGGTGACATTCCAAGATTATTACAAAAAAACTGTATCCAAGACTGCACTGGAAATGACTGTAACAGAGATCTTCATTCAAGAGTCTTACTCTTTTAATCTTTTACTTTACACCATTTATGGATGAAAATAAGAATTTTGTTTAAAAGAAGAAACCATAGGTTTTAAAAATACACGATCTTTCTCTATAACACATCCCAAACATCTACTTTTATTCTAAACTGTGGGATGAATTATAAATTGACCAACACTATCAAGAGGTGCATCAAGTTTATATAAGATTTTTTTCTGCAAGCAACCAATAACAACTTTGTTTCTATATTGGAAATAACTATTCAAAGAACTGATTATGGTCCCACACAACAGTCACTGATTTGGTGGATATTATAATGGATCATAATGTCTCTATTGTATTGTAGATGAACAGCTTATACGTATCTAATATAGTTATATGTGTCTGTCCGTCTGTGTCAGGTTACTTTTATACTATTCAACTTACGTTAACCAAACTTGATATGCAGTTGCGTCATGGGCTTCAAGGATGTGTCATATCCAAAAGTCAGGTCACTCATAATTTTTGTACCATAGAACTTAGGGTAGACCAATTTTGTTATGCTGATACAACACGGAGATTGGGGTGTATCATTTACCAAAGTAAGGTCACTCTGACTTTGAAATTGTCCTATGACCCCCGTGATAGTAAAACGTTTTCTGATTTGTGTTTGGTGTATAACTATTCTTCTTTATCACATTATTCTGATCTTGATATTAACACCAAAACACCAAAAATCAATCAATCAAACTTTTTAAAATATGCTGAATCTACTCTTGTATTCAGATTTTGGGCCCCATTTTAAATTGGTCCACATTGGGGTCTAAAGTGTCATCAAAAGTTGCATTGTTGAGGTTCTTTGATATGCTGAATTTAACTGTGTATTTGGATTTTTTTATTTTAGCCACATTTTACTATGGGTCAACATAAGGGCCCAAAGGGTCCAAAATTAACTTTGTTCATATTGTAAAAACTTTTTTTTTAACTGAGTTAACCCAAATATCAGTGTTTAGATAATGTACTCATTTAAATGCTTTAGACAATATCATGCAAAATTTTTAAAAATTATGCAGGTTATTGGAGCCTCATGTTTTTAGGTTTTACTGTTCATTTTCCCTTTAGGGGAATGCTTTATTATCTGAACAAAATTCTGTTACATATTTTGTGAAACACCTTGTGTCAGGTTTAATTTAGGGGACGACCATTTGATATTCTGGGGGGGGCCAGGAGGATTTTGAAAATAAATAACTCAGCCTTGATAATCACAAAAATAAATGGTTTGTTCTGTGGTAGTTTGAAAAATAAATTACCTGACTTGCAATGTATTGAAAATAAATAACTCAGCAGGTCTAATAGAAAGTATGAGATGGCACCATTCTTCATAAATTCATCTTTTTTCCAAAAAAAAAATCGGGAAACACTTCCCATATCTTTTAATAATAAAAGTATAAATATTATTTAAATATACTTGAAATGTCAGAAAATTGGTTTCATTTAACTTGAGGTTAATTGTCTCAGGAACACTTACCTCACTTTTATTAAATCAGGGCAGTAACTACATTGAGACAAATGCCTCATGTAGGAAATTTCAAAACTAAACGCTTGTCTCCATATCAAATTGTGTTCACCGTGAGTGCCTTTCAAGAAGCAAGTTCTGTTCTCCCTCAGACGAAGCCCCCGATTTTTCGGGATCAATGTTTCTTATTTATTTGTCTTTTGTTCATTGATTGCCCTTCTGTATTCTGTTAGTGTTGCATTCATTTTGTAATTTAGTAATTTTATTATTAACTTGATTATGAGTTTAAAAAAACACAGCAGCCACAGACTTAACTATGTGAATTACATTTTTGCTTTATCATGCATATTTGTCTTTTGATGTTGTTCCTAGAAACTTAAGTCTTACACTGAATCTATAATGTGATTTTGCTTTGAGACTAAAATATTGTCATAAAATTATTAAAACAGAACTTGCATTTTCAGTTTAAGAAAGGGTCTGGGGAACACCCAGAAGGCATGATTTTGCATCATTTGTTCTATAGCTTCTTGGGCCTTCAGCGGTTCAAAAACCCTTCAAAAAAAATTTTGCCTCGCTCCGCTCGGCGAAACATGTTTGCCAATACTTTTAAAAGAGCCTTAGTTACAACCAAACTTTAATACTGGGTATGTATGCAATACATGTATATGCATTGGGGGATATAGAAGAGTCATTTCTGCAGAGGATAATAATTAATTCTGATTAAATGGTACATAATGACTTGACTATACATGAATTATTTATAATAAACAAATAATTTAAAAATTGTATGTTTTCGAATATTATAAATATAGTTGTGAAAATAAATAATCAGTCCCTTGCTTTAATGAAAATGAAAAATCTTGCTTCAATAGTGCAGAAAATAGATAATCTGTCCTCTTAGTTTACAAAAATAAATAACCGATCCAAAACAAATCCTCCTGGCCCCCCCCAGAATATCAAATGGTCGTCCCCTTATTACATTTTTCTACCCAGCCAGTTACTCAAGTATGAAGTGAGTAGATTTCAAGTGAAAAAATATTTACCTGTACGTATGATCATGTGACTTACAGGTTAGGATTTGAATTCAAATTAGTTTGATCTTTACTTGGACAAAGACTTGCATTATTTCCTTGAAATTTTTGAAGACATGAAAAAGTTTAAAGTTTCATAACGAGTCTAAGGTATTTAATGTAGTAATAATTATGTACTTTAAGGATTATGTACCCTTCTGTTGATTCAACATGTTCAATGCTAAACCGCAGAGACATATAATACATTGTATTATATGTCTCTGGCTAAACATATGGAAATTTTATAGAAAATCCACAGCCTTTCCCCTTGTAATCTAATATTTGACAATTCGGTGCTTGATTGATAGACGATAATTGTATGCAGTGCTAGCAATGATTTCCTTAAAACAAAATTATAAATTAAGATATTGGTTAAAACAAATGTAAATACGAACCTATTCAAGTACACCTTCTAGGGTGCGCTAGACTTTAATGACTCACTACGAGTTTTTTTTGGAATTAAAAGGTTATTTATGACTTTTTGTAAACAATAAGCACTAGCACACCATGAACAAACAAGTAAGTAATCTATGTTTAGAATTTTATAACGAAAATCTCAGTATTAAAGTCTGTGGATTTCTTTTCAGTTCTTGGATTCTAGGAACTTAAAGTCATCTAAATTGGTATTAGATAGGAAAACCAGACACTATACGCCATTATATAGATTTTCAACAATGCTAGACTCAGAGTATATACAGTCAGGACAAAAGTGAGTTCCCACTGAAAAAACGTCCTATATCATTTCAACTTAAATCAATATTTTTCAAAGATTGTACTTTCAGTAGCTATTTAAAATGCCACAAAGGTCAGTAAAAGACATTTAATTAAACAAGGAGGTTATAAACACCCTCTCCTTGAGTTTACTAATATAATAAATTGGGACCATGGTATCTATTTGGTAAGCTTATTATATGTAATTTCCTTTGGTTTTAGTTCATCATAATCATTTGGCAAAGTTGGCTGTGTTTACGCAACAAATGTTATTTTCCTTTTCAAAATCTAAGGACTATGGGTAATCTCATTGGTTGTACACCAAAAAAAAAACAACGTTGTATCATTGATTAATTTCCATTTTTGTCTCGCCTTGACGGAGTCAAAAAGCGAGACATAGGTATGCTGTTTCCGGCGACGGTGGCGGCGTCAACAATGTATTAGTTTGTGATTAGGTCTAGTTCATGGTGAACCACTAGTGGTAGGTCAATGATATTTGGTATGCAGTTGTATTAGCATTGGCTCGTCTCATTACCATGGAGATTATTTGGCCCCGCCCCCTCAGTCAAGGTCTATTGACTTTGAAACTTTGCTTAGTTTACATGTATTAGTTTGTGATTAGGTCAGTTTATGTGGAACCACTAGTGATAGGTCAATGATATTTGGTATGCAGTTGTATAAGCATTGGCATATCTCATTTCCATGGAGATTTTTTGGCCCCACCCCCTCATTCATGGTCTATTGACTTTGAAACTTTTGCTTAGTTTTCATGTATTAGTTTGTGATTAGATCAGTTTAAGATGAACAACTAATTAATGTAAAGTCAATGATATTTGGTATGCAAATGTATTGGCATTTGCAAGTTTCATTTCCATGGAGATTATATAACCCCACCCCCTAATTATGGTTCATTGACTTTGAAACTTTTACATAGTTTACAAGTTAATGTTTGTGTTTAGGTTTCTTTAAAGGGAACGACTTATAAAAAGACAATGGTATTTGGTTTGCAGTTGTATTAACATTGGCACATCTCATTTCCATGGAGATTGCTTAGCCCTGTACCTTCAGTCAGGGTTCATTGACTTTAACTATATTTGCATAACTTACATGTTAAAGTATTGCTATTTTAATTTCAACATTTGCATTATCAAAATAACAAATAGGCGATCGAGACATATCTCTGTGTTATTAGTTTATTAAGATTTTTTTAAACCAATCATGTTTTTGTGTATGCTTTTGAAAATATTACAGCAAATTGATCACAGAAAAACCAGTGCAGCTGAAAAAGGCAAATATATATGGAAAAGTAAATTGAATTTTGTATTTCAGAGAATTTAAAAGACTATCCACAACATTCTCATTTTGATGAATTGTTAAACCACAGAAACTTAAAGAAGACCTACAGAAAACCTAGGCTGTATAGTATATACAACAATATAAAAGAATCGGCCAGTTGCGTTCATCTATAAGGTTTGTATTGGTTGAATATTACATTTCCCTTCATCAATTTTCAACATTAAAATTATTTTTTTTTAAGTACAATATTAATTACCTTGCTTATTAAAAAGGCTTTGAAAGGCATAAACATGTTGAAAATATACTGCACAGCCCTGTGTTTTGAACTTTGTAAAGAATAAAAGTGCATATGAACTTAAGATTCCAGGATATAATATTTGTCTCGCTTGACAGAGTAAAAAAGCGAGACATAGGTATGCTGTTTTCGGCGGCTGTGACGTCAGCAATGTATTAGTTTGTGATAAGGTCTAGTTTATGGGGAACCACTAGTGGTAGGTTAATGATAATAGGTCTGCAGTTGTATAAGCATTGGCATATCTCATTTCCATGGAGACTATTTGGCCCTGCCCCCTTAGTTATGGTCTATTGACTTTGTAATTTTTGCTTAGTTTTCATGTATTAGTTTGTGATTAGGTTAGTTTATGGGGAACAACTTAAGTGGTAGGTTAATGATAATAGGTCTGCAGTTGTATAAGCAATGGCATATCTCATTACCATGGAGATTATTTGGCCCTGCCCCCTCAGTCACGGTCTATTGACTTTGAAACTTTTGCTTAGTTTTCATGTATTAGTTTGTGATGAGGTCTGTTTATGGGGAACCACTAGTGGTAGGTCAATGATATTTGGTATGCAGTTGTATTAGCATTGGCACATCTCATTACCATGGAGATTATTTGACCCCACCCCCTCAGTTATGGTTTATTGACTTTGAAATTTTGCTTAGTTCACATGTATTAGTTTTTGTTAAGTTTGTTTAAAGGAAACTACTTATGATAAGTCAATGGTATTTGGTATGCAGTTGTATTAGCTTTGGTACATCTCATTTCCAAGGAAATTGCTTTGCCAAGTACCTTCAGTCAGGGTTCATTTACTTTGAATAATTGCAAAACTTATATGTTAAAGTGTTGCTATTTTAATTTCAACATTTGCATTATTGAAATTACAAAAAAGCGAGACATTTCTCTATGATAACAGTTTATTTACGAAGCTTTATAGTAATTTTTTTTTTTTTATCCTTAAAAGGAGTTCCTATTGGAAATTGCATTGTCTATATTTACAGAGGTTCAACCTATAAGCTAACAAATCTGAACAGAAAGAAAAACAAATGACTGGGTTTGTCAGTATAAATAATACTGGTATTGATAAGATTATGTGGTATGTTTGCTATTGAGACAATTTCTGTTTATAAACATATAATAACCATAATCAAAGTTAATGATACTTGCATGCAAAAAAAGTTTTGATCGGTTATTTTTACAGGACAATATTAATATCTTTTTGAGATAAATATACATGTACTGTAAATTCAGAAATTGTTGCGTGCATTTATTATTGCCAGTTTGTCATTTTAGACTAAAATGCAATTTTATTTTTTGTGATATTGAGAAATCCTGTATAATAAAAACATTGCAATAATTTCTAAATTTACAGTATTAGAATTTAAGTGAAAGATAGCAATGATTAAAGGAGATGCATCAAAGAAAACATATGACCATGATGACTGTCTTAGATTGAAATTTTTTAAAGAACCAGAAATAATATAAGTTTCCACCCTTTCAAATATTATATACAAAACCTATATTTTTCAGGAACCCAAAAATTGAGCAATGACCTTGAAGAGTAAGCAATGTGTACAGTAAGATATCCATCTTTGTAGTTATCAAAGAGTGTGGTAAGAACCTCGTCTTAAATTATACATGGTAAGTATTTTTTTGTTGGTTAAAAGTTATGCATCAGGACACTATAATTTTTTTCTTAGATCCTCATTAGGAAAAAAGGGGATGCAGGTATACATCAATGAAGCAGCAACCCAACGAAAGTATTTTTTTCATATCTCAAAGCCCACCCTTAGAAATGAATTGAAGAATGCTCAAATTTTTAGACCTGTTGATATGAAAACTTGTGTAATGCCTAAATCAAACTACATAATTTCAAGCAGAACTAATTTTTTTTAACGGCTTCAAAGTTTAGATTTGCTAATTTATGTTCTTTTAAACAAAACTACCAGATGCAACTAAACATTTTTGAAAATCTATGAGATGACACCAAGAGAAAAAATTCAATCCTGTTATTTTTTTAAATACTTTATCATTGGCCTTTAACATTGTTAATTTATCAATTGCTCTGGTACTTTAATTTATTCAAATTTTTACAAGTGAATGGAAGTTGTTTTGATTAAAATCACCTTTTATCAATGGGAGGTAACTTTGATAGCTTTTTCTTATGTGTTTTTAAATGAAGCAAAATTTCATTTTTAAAAGAAACTGAATTTCTTCTCTCAATTGTTCCTATTTGTAATGTGTTTTTTATTCATAATTGATAACTGAAGATAAATAATTACAGAAATTGGTTATATAACATAACCCTTTGCCATGCTTACATCAACACATATTTTTTTTTCATTTTCCACAAAAATAAGGCAGTGATGTAGGATATCATTCTTACAAAAACACCACAGCATGGAGACCCACATCATCACACTAACATGTCAAAAGTGTATCCTACTTCATAATGCAAATATTATTTAATAATGTTAATATACAAGTTTGTGAAAAAGAATTTTTATTTAAAAGATTTTACTCATTTCTACTCTGTAGAGACTATTTCACCAGCACTTTGACTGATGCACAGAGACTTCTGACAAATAAGTACCGGTACTCAATAGAGTTGAATGTACTATTGGCGACCGGGTTTGAGGACGTGGAAAGCACTCTATCATTGTTGGTAGTTTTAAGTGCTTTGATCTCTTAGATGAGGTCTCACATTGAAACATATGTTCCTTAGTTTCATATAAATGTTCAGTGCATTATAACTGCCAGACATCTGATTGACTTTGACTGTAGACTTATTTTTAGTGTCCGCAGAGTTTAAATGAGTTTGATTAAAACCCAGCTTATCTATTCCAAGTGTTGAGAAGATTTGATTTCAATATTCCATTAATTTATATTTTTTACTTTTGATAGAAGGCTGAGGGTTTATGCGCTAGAATAAACTTTTTTGGACAAAGAGGTTGTCACTGTTCCTCAACAAAAAATTAACGAACAAATTTGTAAAGCTAAGCTAGAGACACGCTTAGGAAAGACTATCTTTTTCTTTGAGGTTGAAATGGTTATAAAAAATGTTTAATTATATTGTGTTTTTTAGCCAGCTTCCACTCTTTTTTTAAAGTTTGAAAAAAAAAACATTTAAAATATTTATCCCTTAAAGGGTAACAGGATTTTTCTTAAACATTAATTAAAATGAAATAATGAAGTAATAATTTGATTTAAGCAGCCACTTGGGTAAATTTTGTAAAATTGAGCTTAAAAACATAGCTGATATATTATTGTTTTCCAAGACGAAAATTGAACATTATTTTGGTCTGTATTGCATGCAACATTTAATTTGATCAATAGTAGTGGATGGTTGCACATATGTACAGCATGGTCAGATCTTTAAAGTAAAGAAATGTCAAAATTTAATAAAAAGGAAGCAACCACAAAAAACAGCATCCCTGACTAATTTGGTCCCCATAAAATATTCTTTCACAGGTAAAACTAAAATTTTTATGCTTCCTTTTTTGACTAGCTTGAGAGAAATTTTCTTCGAAAGTAAAAATCTTATATTATTTTTTGACAGCAGTCTTATTCCCTGCAAATTTTATGGTAAAGTGAGGTAAAAAAAACTGAAAAAAAATAATTCAAGTTTCTATAAAGGTTTAAAGTTACTTAAAAGAACTAAAAAAAAGGTTGTTTTATATATAATAATCTTCTTTTTTTTATATGTTTATGTGTAATGCATATTGTATACTAATTGACTGTGTATGAATGTAGTAGTAAGTTTATTGTCCCTCATGGTGCAACTATTGTCCTGAGGCGTAGCCGAGGGCAATAGTTGTATCCTAGGGGACAATAAACTTTCTTTTCCACAAATATCCAGTCCGTAAGTGTTTTATTATATCAAAAAAAGACAACAGACAATAAATCGCTGTGATAAATCAACGATCGTAATATATAAAGCAGAAACCCAATCATTACGTTTACTTCATAAATATTCATAAATGCTAAGACTACATCTTGCACTGACGTCAACCCTAGATACAATAGGTAAAAAATTACTCTCCCCGGTATTTTCAAAATCCTCCATTATAGCTGCATTGGAAATCCCGCGAAATATAATGAAGCTTGCAGTCAAGTAGTTTCAACAAGGTCCAATAGTTCAAAGCTTGTAAGTCAAAATATTGTGTACTTATTTTATATAGAAAATGATAATTGAGGTATAATAAATATTTATATTTCATTTCAGGGGGCAAAGTTACTTCAAAGAATTGAAATAAGGTTGGTTGATCCATTTTATTTATGTTTTTATGTGTAATGTTTTATATGTATTTCTATTTCATTTTAAGGTTTACCACAGACATTTAATTTATTAATTTTATTTTTGTTACAGATGCAGCTGGGAGGATGTTTCAGTCATAGACCTTGGATAGACTCCGTTGTAGCAGACTAGGGAGAGTAGCATATAGTTCTCGTAACGCTATACAATAGTAACAAGATCATTCTATTCTGAGATTGTTAAAGGGCCTGTTTGATAGAAGTGACATCAACGTTCTCCAAAACTACTAATTTATGAATTTTATTTTTGTTACAGATGCAGCTGGGAGGATGTTTCAGTCATAGACCTTGGATAGACTCCATTGTAGCAGACTAGGGAGAGTAGCATATAGTTCTCGTAACGCTATACAATAGTAACAAGATCATTCTACTCTGAGATTGTTAAAGGGCCTGTTTGATAGAAGTGACGCCAACGTTCTCCAACACTACTAATTTATGAATTTTATTTTTGTTACAGATGCAGCTGGGAGGATGTTTCAGTCATAGACCTTGGATAGACTCCGTTGTAGCAGACTAGGGAGAGTAGCATATAGTTCTCGTAACGCTATACAATAGTAACAAGATCATTCTACTCTGAGATTGTTAAAGGGCCTGTTTGATAGAAGTGACGCCAACATTCCCCAACACTACTAATTTGTAAATTTAATGTTTGTTACAGATGGGGGCCAGAGGCAGATTCAGTCATAAACCTTGAATATGGCTTATTAGAGATCTGCTTCGATGGAATTGACAACAATTTCCTCAAACACATCACTAATCTTTATTATCTGTTTCCATTACAGAGTTTATACAGAGATATATAGGTATACCGTATTTTTAAATTTTTTTTGGTCCTATGTAAGTTTGTCATAAAGAAATAGTATGTGGTATTAATGTCAATGGGATAAAACACACAGAAGAAATCAACTTAAATACCTTTAAGTATGGATGTAGAAAGACAGACTATCCCATAACCAAAAGAAAGGACAGACAAAAATATACAAAATAATACACAAACTAAAAAATGTACAACACTAACCCAATCAAAGACCAAGGATGAACTCAGGTGATCCAGGAAGTTGGAACCAAAAGAAATGACAGACAAAAGTCTACAAAACACCAAACTGAAAACTAAAAATGTACAACATCAAGCCAACCAGAGACCAGGGGATGAACTCAGGTGACCCAGGACAGAAGTACTACTAGGATGGGTTTTTTACTACCAGGACAGGACAGAAGTGGGTAAGTAATTGATATGTTAACAAATTTACAAATTGACAAAGTCAAGGGTGTTTTTTTCATTCATTCTTTCTTCAATTCTAAATTTTAAATGTGACAAGATAAAGATGGCACATAATTTTCAAATATAGTTTTTTAGAATTATTATTCTTTGTTTGTTATTTTGAAGTATCTTCATGTTTGACAAAATTTTAACTTCAATTTAACTTTAAAAAAAATATGCTCCAAAATTTATTAAATTGATACACCTTTTTTTCACAGAAAATATTGGTTATCTATTTTAACATTCATGTGAGTCAAGTTAAGATAATGATGACTCAGTCTTACTCCATGAAAACACTGGTATCTTGCATTATGAGGGGCTTTAGCAAAGGGTGCTACCAAAATTTATGTAAAAGAATAAAGCTTTCACTCACTGAGTCAGAAAAATTACTCATTAATTCCAGAGTTTTGATAAGGGTGAAACAAATTCCCACGAAAAATAAAGTTCTTATACTGAATTCCCTTTGGCTTCAAAAATAAATAACCTTGAAGTCTTTAAAAAATCCTAATGCCCCTCCATGATGATAGAAAATTTAAAAATTTCACTGAGTGAAGGGGAGGTAACTCATATGAAATGAATTTACAAATTTGAAAGAATTTAAACTACATGATCCAATTGAGCTATACATTTGTAAAGTAAGACCCAGGGACCATGCTCAGAGAAGTCATTTGTGTATATTATTTTACATTAGGGAAGTTGAGTCAGTACAATGTGTGGATACAGCCATTTTGAAAAGGGGGGTGGGGGGTTCCAAACCTAGGAACATCATGAAACGTTCACATATTAAAAAAAAAAGAGGAATCAGAATAAAAGGAGGGATTCCAACCCCCAGACTGAAAATTTAGATATTTATGTGAAGTATTTATCAATTGAAAAAATATGACTGGGTTCAGATTATTTAAATTTCATATTTTTACTCTTAATTTGTACCGGTATTTAGAACAAAATTTGAATGCAGTAATTTTTTAAATATCTCAACTTTTGATGATTTGAAAATGCACACATTTA